TTTGGGGGGGGGGGGGGATTATAATGTTTAAAAGGTGCTAATAATGCCATAATGTACATGTGGCCATGGGAAATTTCAGAAGTGCCATGTCATTGCAAAGTTTGAGACTATGTATAATTTGTCTACACAGTTTATATCAGATTAATTTTTGCTGCAGAACTTTTGTGGGCTTCATAAATATCTATATGCATTTATTAATTCAGTGTAGTTTGTACTCACAGGATAGGTATGTAAAATTAGTTCACAGATAGAATTCAGTTAATTATCTTGACTTCATTATATGGTTGATCCTTCATTAACAGGAACCACAGTCAGATTTTACTTATGCATTCGAAGAAATTAAGAACGTAGCCATAAATCTCTCCGTAAATTATTGGTTGGGCCATGAAAGTATTATCACAAATTGAACTCCAAAACAAACATTTCTAATCAGCATGAGTATGTGAGAATGGTTTTGTTATTGTGTGGGTTGGTTGATTTGTTTGTTGTGCCTTCAGTGTTACTCCATTACTCGTAGATGTTTTGTGTAATCTCTTTAAGGTACCACTTGACAATTACATGTTTACAAAATTAATGGTAAAACCATTCTGAAGATAAATATTGCACATTTGTCATATGTTCATTAAACAGACATTTGAGTTTAAATTTTCATTCTATTTTTCTTTGTTTATCTTATAATAAAGAATATATGTTACTGTGATTATGTGCAAATAATTTTCTACCATAAAAATTGCAGCTCTGGTTGCATGCAGTAAACATAACTTTGAGTCTGCAGCATGTTTCAGAATTAAGTAAGTATATAAGATATGCCCTGCCTCTTGTGGAGGGTTTATTACTCTGTTCACAAAAACCTACCATCGATCACTATCATGGCTCAAATTAATCCAGTCTACACCCTCATATCCTAAGATTTATTTTAATATTAATCACCCATCTATGCCTAGGTCTCCCAAATGGCGTCTTCCCTACAGATTTAACGATCATATTGTGTGTATTTCTGATCTCTCCCAAGCATTCCACGTTCTCTTATAATCGCAACCTTCCCAATTTCATTACTGGTAAGAGAACATATTTACATATAAAACCAACCCTTGTGTAGTATGGTAGATGTTTACCAACGTTTCAGAGGTCATGCCGCCTCCGTCATCAGGGCGATGAGTATGAATATTTCTGTCGTCTGGGTTGTTGCGCTGTGTAGTCTGGTCGAAGTTTACCAACGTTTCAGAGGTCATGCCGCCTCCGTCATCAGGGCGATGAGTATGAATATTTCTGTCGTCTGGGTTGTTGCGCTGTGTAGTCTGGTCGAAGTTTACCAACGTTTCAGAGGTCATGCCGCCTCCGTCATCAGGGCGATGAGTATGAATATTTCTGTCGTCTGGGTTGTTGCGCTGTGTAGTCTGGTCGAAGTTTACCAACGTTTCAGAGGTCATGCCGCCTCCGTCATCAGGGCGATGAGTATGAATATTTCTGTCGTCTGGGTTGTTGCGCTGTGTAGTCTGGTCGAAGTTTACCAACGTTTCAGAGGTCATGCCGCCTCCGTCATCAGGGCGATGAGTATGAATATTTCTGTCGTCTGGGTTGTTGCGCTGTGTAGTCTGGTCGAAGTTTACCAACGTTTCAGAGGTCATGCCGCCTCCGTCATCAGGGCGATGAGTATGAATATTTCTGTCGTCTGGGTTGTTGCGCTGTGTAGTCTGGTCGAAGTTTACCAACGTTTCAGAGGTCATGCCGCCTCCGTCATCAGGGCGATGAGTATGAATATTTCTGTCGTCTGGGTTGTTGCGCTGTGTAGTCTGGTCGAAGTTTACCAACGTTTCAGAGGTCATGCCGCCTCCGTCATCAGGGCGATGAGTATGAATATTTCTGTCGTCTGGGTTGTTGCGCTGTGTAGTCTGGTCGAAGTTTACCAACGTTTCAGAGGTCATGCCGCCTCCGTCATCAGGGCGATGAATATTATCGCCCTGATGACGGAGGCAGTACGACCTCTGAAACGTTGGTTAACTTCGACCAGACTACACAGCGCAATAACCCAGAAGACAGAAATCTTCACAACTCGTATTGTCTACAGCCACGGTATTCACTTCCGTCTTCCGCCCTGAAGAAGGATACATGTTTTTCCAAAACGCTGGTGTCTACATACAATTCCAGACGTCGTTACAACCCAGAAGATCAACATCGACATTTTCACCACCGTGAGAACCACAAATCCCATCTAATTTCGTTTTAGATTAATGTTAAGTCAAATACAAGAACACGGTGAAGTGAAATCAACATAAACAATGGTGATAAACGTCGAATAACTCTGAACAGTAAAGTAATCAAACCGGTGATTTACTTTTCGGACTTATATGTAGGTTTCATTCAAGTAAATTTTCATTAGTCCTGAGTACATCAAATTCAAGTAGAATGTTGCACTGTGAATAACTCGGAGTCTTTGGATTTCTACAAATGTAGTTGATATACTGTTCCATTGCCCCCCCCCCCCCTTCTTGTGCAGCATCAGACCAATTCAGAAAAAAACTGATCACGTTGACATCAAAAACATTCTAATTTAACTTTGATCAGTTTCTTCGTTGTGCAAGTTATTTTACTAAAGACGTTTAATTCTGTGTCGGTAATTAAACTTTGTCGCTCATTTAGACCTACCAAAACTTTGAAAGTAGAGTAATAATTACATTACGCAAAAAATTAGTGCTTTATTTATGATTTAATAGCCTGATATAAAATGAAATTCTATTCGACCTTTCAGAACCAAAATGAAATTATTTCGGAAAACGATTGTATTTGCTCCTTCCATACTAATTTCATCAAACCTTGTGACGTTACATCAGAGAAGTATGCGGCAGCAGTAGCTCGTCATACTTCACTTTGCGTAGTGTTTAAAAATGCAGGGGCGGTGTGTGCCGACTGTACGTAAGCAGGCAGGGTACAGGTATTTATAAAGGAGAAACGAATCTATCTCCTCGTATGACACTGTCAAATATTTACTTGTTAAAAAGGCATGTTTGTGAAAATATACGCGTATTTGCTAAACTGCATTAGTGAAACGGTGTTCAACAGCTAGAATTTGTGCTTGCTGCTCAAGTTCCATTCTTGTTAGTGAAATGTTATCCTCATCTGTAAATTTTTGTCCTTCTTAGTCAAACTTTATCCTTGACGGTGAAATTGTTGTAGTGAAACTGTTGTTTTTGCGCGTCCGTGAAACCTCTGGTCACATTGGCTTTAAATGAAGTATATGCTGTCAGCAGCTGCAACACACGAGTCCATCCGATGCGGGTTTACACGTGGAACCATGACAGCAAAAACAGTACCACAAAAACTGAATGCATCAACTAAACCAGGTAAGACATTGCATTACATATAACCTCTTTATTTTTTAGTATGTATGCCTACTTGGTGATCTTGCCAACCTATTTGGTTTTTCCAGGAGTATTTGGAAGGAACTGTATGGTTTTGAATTCTTGCCTCATTATCCCTAGGTCAGCAAGGGGACATTAAGTAAGAAATAGCAGTTTTTAAATACTTTGGGAAAAAGGCTTACATAACACATTACATTTCGTTTCAGTCCTTACTGAGCACTGATGACTTCAGATGAGCAGATTCTCCATCTAAAATCTCCCTCATCCTACCCAATCTGATCACTTTCATAGTTTTTGATGGAGTATAAATTGTGAAATTTCTTGTTATTCTACAGCCTCCTAATATTTCCTAATCTGCAAAAGACATGTTTCAGTATTTGTAAGGTTCTCTTTGAATTATGTCATGATCGAGTGTTTAGCACTTCTTGCTTCATATTCTGGATCTCCTAAATTCAAATCTGAGTCTGGAGACTTGTTATCCTAGCTGATGTTTTATTAGTCCCTCCATGCAAATGCTAGAATAAATCATACCTTAAACTAGGCTATGACAGTTCCCTTCCACATTCTTTGTTTTTCACTATTCATTTTATTCTTCAGGCAAAGTGGAGCAATTGAAGGTATCATTAAATAAACAAAGAAAAAATAAAGTAGTACAAATTTGAACCTGATGCAAAACATTACTTCATGATGAATAATCAGTATATATACAGAAAACTATTGTATTTCATGCAGAACAACAAAATACATCAGCATTAACTACATTGCTGATAAATTTGAAATGTGTAATAGATTGAACTGAATAAAACCATGGTAACTGATCACTATCAGAAAGTGTGAAATGCACATGACTCCTGCATTGCTGTGAGTAACTCCCATCAAAATGGAGATAAGATCCTTATTCAAGATTCACTGTTGATTATGTTCATATGTTATACTTTTTCAGGTAAATCATGTTTTAGGATACATCAGCATCATTCGTTTGTTCACAGATCTCTTCTTGATGCACTGTTATGTTTTTCCAAAAGAATCTAATGGACAATACATATTTTCCAAATGCATTATTCACTGTTTTGTGTGCCTCACAGGTCTAGATGATTATATATTGCAGAAAAATCTACTGTTGTGGATCAAACTGAAATATAAGCATTGCACTGAAGTCACTACACTAGAAATGTTGTTCTCCAGTGCTTGGGGATATAAGATTCCTGTTAGTTTTTTTATGTTACTGCTATATGATGGTGTCCAGTCTTGTGCCTAGTGCTGTAGTGGCTTACTGTTATTTAGTTACTGTTAGTTTCAGTAAAACTGTGGCATAGTTATAATATGACAGGTTCCACTTTCAAGGTTTAACTGTGCGATGTTTCAAAGACTTCACTCTTGCAGCTATTCTGTTGAGCAGTTTGTGTGCCTCATCATAATGTGGGTTAAATTCTTGACGTATTCTATCCAACCAAGCAGAAATTTTTGGATATTCTGGTCTATCGTCATAACCTCCCATTCCTACAAAGTCAATGTTATTTAGTATTAAGCACAAACATTTTATACACAGTCTAATTTTGTCACAGGACAAAATATATTCATGAAGCCAAATTTAGTATTTCGTGATTATTATCTCACATAGAGTATGTATGAATAAAGTACAAAAAATCTTTAGAGCAGCTACAACTTTATTATATTTTCAGTGTTTTTTCTAAAAAGTACTTAGGCCATTCGGTAAAATGGTAGTATGTGTTGTGAAAGTTACTTCTCAAGTTTTAATAATAATACGTGGCATAACAGCCCTCTGAGAGCCAAAGCCGACTAGCTTGACTGCTGGCCTCACGTTCACATGCCTAAGCAGAGGTGAACGATCATACAGCCAGATATAGGGTGACGTGTGGTCAGCAGGACAAACCCCCAGCCATTGCTAGTTTTCATGACCGGATTACACTACCCATTGTAGCTCCCCAATTTGCTCATGATGCTGGGTTGGCACCGGTCCCATACACTGGTCGAAAATCTCATGAGAAATTTCTTTCCCCAAGACTCGAACCAGCGCGCATGCCGTATCACCGGTCCGAAGCATGATGCCTCAGACCACACGGCTCAAGTTTTAAGGACCCTAAATAACAATATTTTTAAAATTCTGTTTATCCAGAGGGTAACTTTTAATATAGAGTAACTGGACAGATGAACACATGCATGCATATGAATGTATGTATATATAGCACATAATTGTACATAAATATCGACAATAAACTAGAAATTCAAGGATACAGATTACTGACTTACCTAGTTGTTCCACTTCACAAACTCCAAGTAAGTCAGCAATTGTGATTGTGTTTGCAACTAAATATGGTTTATCCCTCAGCCATACATTCTCAATAAGACTTAATGTTGTTTTCATTTTTTCTTCACATTCCTTAACTTTACTAGCATCTGCTGGATTTCCAGTAATAAGGGGTGCCAGATACTGCTTGGAAATTAATAACATAACATTGAATTACATTTAATATGGTCTAATTTCAATTATCTAGAGTTTGGGTAAGAAGTAATGAAAAGTGAAAACATCAGACATAATACAGAAGTATGCATTATATTTTAGTGTTCAGAAGAAATTTGTTACCTTTTTTATATATTTAATGTGCCGTTTCATATATGAAATCTAAATAAACAATTTGGACAATGCTTCTAGGTACAAGTGTAAACAATAATTGCCTGTTGTATTAGCAAGACGACTGTCAGTGGTTAGTCTCTCAAAACATAAGTTTAAATAAAAAAACTATTCTGTGGCAATTATCTGATATCAGATTTCAATAAAATCATACCTGAGGATGGTTTCAGGATATCAAACTTCAATACATACCTAACCAAGGGTGATTAAGGTTCAATAAAATGCTACATATTTGGAACCTTTCACCACCACATTAATTAGAATATTGATTTATTTCAATATGATTTAAATTTATATTAATTTCAAGGGTGCTTTGACAGTACATGGTTTTAAAAAGTGTGCACTTGTTTGCCAGGGAGTCATAAGAAATAGATTCTCTTCATATTACTTCAAAAGCAGCAGTATGTGTGTTAAACAGCAATATATTAAGACATTTTGAAGGATAGCAGTGAAACCCACCTTAATCTGGAAGAATGAAAAACAGTTCAGTCTTGTATTCAAGTGGTGCCATTCCAAGTACTCATCTATTTTAGCCTGTTGTTTACTATCCTTTGGATACCAATGGGCTGGAACATCTCTTTCACGGCATAAATAGCGAAGTATTGCAACACTATGAAATTCTTTAATGATCACTGTTTGAACGCATTGTTTAAACATTCAGTTATGTATCTCCAACATATGGTATAAGAAAGTGTTTTGGATTAAGTCTGGGGTAACAGAATGAGAAAAGTTCAGGATTAAGTCCACACAGGTCAAGCTCGCAATGAAATTAAGTACAGCCCTTTGTGATGTTCAGATAATATTAAACATTTTATCAATTCTTATTTTCTCATATACAGAAAAGAGAAACTATTGTAACCAAGAATTTTGGTAGCCTGTAGCCATACAAATAAGTTCATTTTGATAGGTTCATATTACACAATTAATGTACACAGAATTTTTCTTGTGTAAGTTACTGGCTCCCAAGTATTAATAATAATAATAATAATAATAAAGCTGCCCACTTGTGGCCTAGATCTGTAATAAATAAAGCCCATCTCTGCATTTTACAGATTTCTCTTAATCCTTGGAATTATTTTCATCACTACAATTTTGGAAATACAGTAGATTCTGGTTAATTTGGCCACCGGTTAATTGGGGCAGCCATTTATTTGGGACAAATCTTAAAGAACAAAAACAAATCGATTAAATAACCAGAATTTGCTTTGCTTATTTAGGGCATCATGCTGTTTAATCGGGACAGTGAGTGCTAGATGGTGTGCATATGGCATGGAGGATTCAGACAGTGTAGCGATTCTGCTTGCAAGCAATAAGCAGCAAGACCATTCAGAACTGCTTTGTCCACTGTGGTTTTAAGCATTCAGGCTTGGAGATGTCAGATACGACCGATAGTGAAAATTACGACATTTTGGAAGTGCAATACGTCAGAAAATATGAAGAGTTTGCATACATCTTCAATATCACAATGAAAATGAAGATTATGAGGATGCAACTGTTGAACAAACAGAAGCAAAACACCAAAAGACATCAGAAGATCAGGAAAGTGATGAGGATGACACACCTGAGCTTGACTAACCAGAATGCCAGGAAATTTGTTGTTGGATTACGACGCTACTTCATGCAGGAAGGCAATGAAGGCAGTCCTATATCTGCACTAGATACCTGCGCAGATTTTGTTCATTTGCAGTCAATCGAGAGAACACGGCAGGGGACACTTGATAAATTCCTCCATCATTAACTGTTAAGAACTACATACATTAAATTTAAATTGTAAGATTTGAGGTTTTCACAGCGGTGAGTATGAAGATTTCCGTCTTCTGGGTTGTTGTGCTGTGTAGTCTGGTCGATGTGAACCAACGTTTCAGAGGTCATACTTCCTTGGTCACCACCCTGATGACGGAGGCAGTATGACCTCTGAAACGTTGGTAACATCGACCAGACTACACAGCGCAACAACCCAGAAGATGGAAATCTAAATTTAAATTGTTTTTAGTGTAAATATTTTTCTCTGATCTGTACCATTTGTTCTAGAATTCATTTACAGTATGTTGCTCAATAAACGGGAGTTTGTCTTTTGTTTTAAACCTTTTCAACTATTTATGTGGAACTTCGCATAGTTGGGGCAGCAGCTTAATTGGGCCAAAGTGGTCCCGATGTCTCCCAATTAACCGGAATCCATTGTAATTAGGATGATAGTATTAGTGAAGAAAAAAATCTAAGTTCAAGGTGGCTGCTGACTGCTACTCAATTTACATGATCAAACCATTATTTAAAAGACATTAAATGAGTTATGCATTTAATACAATACTGTTCCATAAACCAAGAGACAAGTCTTTCTAAGGTGACACGCTGTTTGCACTACTGTACTGGCTCATTATTGTGAGCTGCTGTTTTCCAAATCTTCCATTTGTCTCTTCTACATACCTTTCTTTTAGCACAAAGCCATCATCATCAATGACAGGTATTTTGTTAAATGGATTTAACTTCAGAAATTTGTCACTCTTGTGGTCCTCTGCCAAGAAATTAAAGAAACACTATTAAAGTAAAAGCCAGTTGGACATCTAATAAGAAAGTGACATTATGTACAACTTAAATGCATGCCAAAGGAATAATAAATTCTATTTGTTAAATAAAGATTTCATAAATATAAAATGTAAGCAATTGTCAAAATCTAGAATATATGTTGTATAATTTGTTAAATTCTTTACCTGTGAGCTTACCTTTCAACACATTAATTAATATGCTTTGATAAGGTATTTTATTAATTGATAAGAAGAGTTCTACTGCTCTAGATGGTTGTGATAACAAGCTGCCATACAGTTTAAGCAACACTGTCATCCTAAAGAATGTTATGGAAACATGGTCAAATCCTATATTCTATAGCCAAGATTCATATTATTTTTCAAGTATGGCTGTAGTCATCAGAACACAGTACTAAAACTGGTCTGGTCTTGAAACTAATATATGAAAATAAATAAACAGATGAACAGACTACTTCTTCACATAGCATAGATGCCATTAGTTTATCCTAAAAGAAATTCAGGGGATCACAAATATTAAAGGAAGGCTGGAGTAGAGTAGAGTTTATTTACATTCCATAGATCCTTCTTAGGACTCAACCAAAGGATGTAGAACATGGGAAAGGAGTGTGCTATTGTACTTTTGTGTCTTGTGTGAAACAACAAAAGGAAAAAAAAACATATTAAGTTAAATATCTGCCGTTTCTAAATAACAAATATTTCACTGGGACGTTTTGTAAAACTACAGCAAAAGTGTTGGTAATTAAATACATGAAGAAATTGATTTCATTTTCATATAAAAAATTAAACACGTTTCACATCATAATCACTGTTTGGATCACAATTTCCATCAGCTCGTCTCGACCTCATTATACGTTTTTTTTGCCGTAAATAGGACTTTTTTGCAAAAATAATTCTAATCCATGGAACGGATATATCACGTAAATCTCTCTTTATAGGCATAATACTGTTTCCTAGAAATGAGTTTAGAGATGTTCGACATTTGTCCCATCGAATTAGCGTTTTAAACTGGGTGCTTGAAAAATAAGTGCTAGATTATTTATGAAGCTCACGTAATAAAAAGAGTGAGGTTAAGACGTGAGAAAATTGGTATCTGCCGTAGAAATGAAGTGATTAATTACTGAAAATATATAGAAAACTATGCGTCATTTGAAAATATTTAGTGATATTTGTTCATTCCTGCCTTCCCAACAAAATGCGCCAAAACTATAACTATTAATTTGTATATCGACCACGTTTCATCCTCAACCACTGATCGCCAATGTCACCAGTCGACGGTTACACTGTTAATCCAGAAATACATCATTACAACAACAAATTCCCTTGGAAGAACTGCTGTGCAAACACTTCATGCTATATTTATTTTGAAAATAAGAACATTAAGTATGAACGTTTTATTCGACTACAGCTCAAATAAATAGTATATTATCTGTTGTTTAATGACCACACATTTCCTATGTTTACCACCTTAACCTAATCACCATTATCAGTTACCTTTATCAACAATTTAATTCAAATGTCATTCCTTCCATTTGCGGCATAGGTAAAAGTGCTTTTGGCCTACAAGTGCATCAGCAGGTAGCAAATGTCTAAAGTTACTTCTTTCACTGCCTGTACAGTACATTATCAATTTTATCTTTCTTGTAAATTTAATAAATATTCTGTTTTCATATAATCTTGTAATGTCTCATACACAACAGGCTTTATGAAAACTTGACACTTTAAATACATAAACGAACATTTGTGAATTGTCTCTCTCTGGTAGGTAAATACCATAACTTATAGCCTTCTACTGCAATAAGCAGTAGGCCTATCTTTTTTAATGATGGGTACAAGTTGCAACAAATAATCAAAATCACACACTTGACATCCTGGTAATGTTTCTAAATGGAAACAGTGCTACCATAATGTATGATGTGCATTAACCAACTAAGAGGCAGCTGATGGCTTGACCACATACAGCCTTTATAGAAACATTGTAATGGAGTACAGTCATGTTCAGGGATTAAGGTATGGAACAAGGCAAAAGCATAGGATGGTATTTTTCATCCTGATAATGCAAAACTTGTTAAATTCTCTCTACTGATAAACCATTATTGTGCATTTTCAGGAACATATTTCTCTTAACATTAATAATGATAAATTACCAGATATTACGTAGCCATATAATTAATTCATTTTACAAAAAATAACCCTCTAAAACTGTATTGTTTACATTACAAAATGTTCTGCCTCATATCATCATAATTAATTCCACAAAAAATGTAAACAAGAAAGACATTTAATCAGGAGTGCTTACATAAATAGAAACATTAAGGTAACAGTAAAAGTTCAACAAGATGATATGTTGATTTTTGTCCATTCATAACTGTGACTTCATAGCCATCTTATTAAGGATGCGGTGTGCTTCATTGTAATATGGATCGAGATCTTGACACACCTTTTCCATCCAGGCAGCAATTTTGGGATATTCTGCTCTTGCATCATAACCTGCAATTCCTAACAAGCACATAACACAAAAATAATAGCTTCAACAAATTAAATTCGAACATTTAGAATGCTATGTGAAATAAAACTATAACAAATTAAACAATTACAACGTTAAATTATCAAATAGTAAACTGCAAAGAACTATGACTTTGTAAGAAGTGTGGTCTTCTGGGTTGTGATAAAATGCAGTCTTGTAGATGGTTACCATCATTTTGGAGGACTGTACACATTATGTTCCCCAGAAATATTGGTATTCACCTACAAGATTATACAGCATCCTAAGTAAGATGACCTTCATGATTTTCATAATGCAAAAAATATATCAGACAAGTTAGTAGTGAAGAAACTAAAGAACTCACTTGGTTGTTCTATTTCACACACTCCCAACAAATCAGCAATGGTAATTTGATTGCCAGTTAAATATGGTGTATTTTCCAGCCACACATTTTCTATGAGACCCAGTGTTGTTTTCATTCTTCTTTCAAATTCGGCAACTTTCTTTTCATTTGGTGGTTCACCTTTAATCAGTGGTATTAAGAACTAGAAGCAAAAGGTACATGCATTTCATTATGTTTGATGCATATGAAAATTATAAAAAGGAAGGAAAATTACTAGTTCATGCTGTCTATCAAGACACTTGTCTTTGGCCTCATGCATTTTATGTTTTAAAAGAATATCTCACAGGCTTCAGTATTACTAGTACTGCCAGTAAATGTATTCATGTAATAATATACATTTGATACATAAGTTAACAATCATTCATCAATTGTTATGAAACTAAACACTTCATGTGGACACCATGTTGTTATTTTAATTTTCCTAACAACTTGATAAATTAAAGTTTGTATTTTTCAAAGAATTATCACCACACAAAACTTCCAGATAACACATTTAAAATTTATAATGTTATGTATTAGATAGTGTAATTCCTATTTAACAAATTCAAATAGTTTCCAGTATGATACTGTTTATAATAAGATGGCACAGTTTTTCCATAGCATGCTGTTTATAGTTTTACAAAAGTCAGTCAATTAGCATATATAATATTCTTGTCTGTAAATGGATACACACATGCATCTGAATAATAGGTCACTGAAGTGTAAAATGACAAGAAATATAGTGACTGCAATTTCTTTTATACATATCTAATGTTGATGTTTAAAAAAAAACCACATTTCAGGAGCTGGTGCTACTTTTGTTTTCAGGTAACAAGTGGGCAAAATTCATAGCTGGAGGTTACAGACTGCAAAGACAAGAATGTTAGGATTACTCCACTGAGTTAGATTTCAAACTTTTGCAGTTGTACAATCAAGTACCATTTCTTCCATTAAATGGTGTTTCATGTTTGAAATTCAACAGAATGCAGAAAAAATGGACTCTGAATGGAAAAATCACAGAGATCAGTTTATTCCCTGTTTCCCATGTTCCCTTAGAAATGTTAATTTAAACTTCCCTATCGGCTAGCTGCACTTACCGTAAATATTAAATCTTCATTAGCTGTTTCCAGAAGTTTTGTTTTAAACTCACCTTATGTTGAAAATACATAGAACAATTCAACCTTGTGTCCAAGTGCTGCCATTCTAAATACTCATCCACCTTAGCCTGTTGCTTATTGTCTTTAGGGTACCAGTGGTCTGGAACATTTTTCTCACGACACAGGTAGCGAAGTATTGCAACACTAAGAAGGAAGATTTTCTCCACAATTTTATTTACATTTTGCATTGTAAAGTGTTAAAACCAGTGAGTAGTCTACAGTGGTGCTTATGCATCATGCCATGAAGATATGTGGAGGAATGGAGGCAAAGCTCCAAACATTCTCAGTCTTAAAACTAGATGGAAAGAGAAAAGAACTAAAATCGTCAATATTAGAAGTAATGCCTCTTAATTTGATCTTTGAAGGTAATATATTAACTTTATATATGTTTTATTTAGATGACATTCTCGCATAGTGTTTTGAGAAAAATAGAAATTGCTGCCAACATGAAATACATTACTGCCAACACCATTAAATACTATGTTAATACAATGAACAATGAAGCTGCAAGAATTGCCATATAATTAAATCAACATACCTCTCCCTCAGAATAAAACCATTATCTTCAATAACTGGGACCTTCTTCAGTGGATTTAACTTCTCATACTCTTCAGACAAGTGTTCTCCTGCCAAACAGTAACACAACTTCAACTAATACTTACTTGTATAAATAACAAAAGACTTAATATATTTGTATCCTTATAATTGTATTACTACTGAAATGGTACTGAGTGAATATTTTCTCTTTTCACGAATTCACAGAACTTATTCTAGTTCTCATAAATGTTATCCCATAGCTCTTTTCCTCAGGGCAGTGTAATAACTTTCATTACCTTTTGATAGTAGTGTTAAGTTTTGAAAAAGGCAATTTCCATTAGAAGGTGCTGTCTTTACCAAGAAATGATAAAACATTTCCGTTCTAAATAATTAAACTGTATGTTATACCAGAGTTCATCTGCAGGCATATGTAGCAAGTTATCAGCTTGGCAATTGCTATTTGTTACTGGTTGGCTTTGTTTAAATATGAGACTGAAAGTTTCCCTCTCTATAAAAAACTATAATTCTGTAAAATGAGTTTCTTGTCTCATCAAAATGGTTTTTTAAACAACTATTATGTCACCTGAGATGCATATTAGAATTGTTGGACCACCATTAATAATTTATTTATTTACTTTGTATTCTATTATTTTAGTTATGTTAGCATTTTTTGCAGTGAAATGTGTTGATTTCTGGTTAGCAAAAGACATTCGGCTGGTGATATGCACAGCAAGATTTGATATCATAACACCCACCCATAGGACAAAATCCTTGGAAAATGTATGTATAGATAGGTCATCCCAAGAGGGTGTAGTCATAAAAAATGTGAGTGATTCTACATAATAAGCATTTTATGTTAGCAGCACAATGAGTTCAAATCCACATTTTATATTAGAAGCATAACATATTCAAATCAGAAGAGGATAGTCTTCTGAGATGTGACATGTAGTATGGCAGAAATTGACTGATGTTTCAGAGGTACTTACTGTCTCCATCATCATCACCACCACCTTGATCATGGAAGCAGTAAGTACCTCTGAACATGGGTCATTTTATATCAGATTACATGGTGCAATACCCAAGAAGACCGTCATCTTCATACTCACCACCATGAGAACCTGAAATCTCACCTTATTTAAATCAGTTATATAGCATTATTCTAAAATGTCTAGTCCACTCACCAACATATTAAAAATTGTGACAGAAAGTTTGTATATATGACAGCCTTAGTGACACACTAAAGAGAATTTTTGAGTGAAAAAACTACCAATAGTTCTGAGCATAACAGTTGAGCATAATAAAGCCAAGCGCATAAAAACTGATCATACAACCAAAAAAGAGTTATTTCTAAATCTGTAACTATAATCTGGAATCACAACAGAAACCACCCAGTTTGGGACTTGTATACATGCATTAAAGTATTATATAAGCAACAGTGTAAATAAAATTAAGGTTAACAAATTCATTGGTTTTTAACAACCCCTCTCTAATGAGTTGTGGTTACTGTTTTAATACAAATTAATAAAGTAAATACAAATCAAACCATCTCATGATATCCTGTGCTTAAGTTATGACATGCATGTGAATTGTGGTTTTCTGAGTTGTAATACCATGTAGTCTTGTAAGTGGTAACCAATGTTCTGGAGTACAATATCTTATACCCTGATGATGACAGTGATACTTTTCTATTAAATGCTGATAACCACCTACAAGACTATATGGCATCATAACTTGGACCACAATTCACATTTTCACCACCACATAACCTCAAGTCTCATAAAACTTGTACACCTAAAAAGTTATTACTGCACATTCTGTATTATCCAGCACCATACCTTTTGCCATATCCACAAATTTAAACTCATGTGGTATTTGATTTGCTTTTAACAACATAAAGACGGCTCGAGATGGTTGTGATAATAAATTGCCATAAAGTTTAAGAGGCATCTTCAAACCCTGAAAAATAGTATTGAACTGATGAAAATATGAGAAAAAATGTTTACATTAATAAAATCCATGGACAGCTTCACAATATGGTGACATCATTTGCCTGTTAAATTTGTATTTGCAGTAACTATTGTATTGTACCCTTTCTAATTAAACTGTTATTCAATTTCAATTCCACTATAATACAAATATCATTGGAACTAATGCAGTGGCTCACTATATTGTAAAGATTTACCAACATTTATTATTAAAATAACATTAGACTGCTATGATGTTTGTCACTATGCACCACAAAGAGTTGTCTTGAATCATCATCCCAATACAGGTAATTAATAAGCAAGTTTCTTCATAAACCTTTCCAACTTAACAGTACAATCTGACACTGAAGACATAGATTGTTTGCCCAATTAAATCTATTGTCATCTGCAAGTATGACTGACATTTCTCAAAGCATAGCTAGTTCGTAATTTTGTATAAATTGGTTTGATCCAATTAAACGTAAGTTGTTTTGTAATCATGAACGTCTAGAGTTGTGTAAAGGTAAAAGTGTTGAAACATGGACTGCATAATATTTACATTTTTATAACCTTAAAAGAATGTGAAACAGTTCCACTGATCTTATGTCACTGCCCTGCTGCACATGATGTACAGAAATAGAAGCATTATAATTGGAAATTCAGTGAATGTAAATTGATTTCTTGTATGTAGTTACCATAAAAGTAAATTGCCTGCAAGCCTGTTGGTTTTAAAATATTTTGTTAGATCGTAGATGCTATAGAATTATGAAATCGTGATCGATAGCATAGATAATGCTATCATAGATCGATAGTGATCATAGATGATCACAATCGACTAGAAACTATCAAATAATTAGATTGGTGAAATCTGTTGAACATTACATAACATTTGAAAACCGAACGGGCTCCCCACCCAAAACACTGAAATGGTCACCATTTTTGGTGGGAGTTCAGAGATTCTCAACGCGTGACCAATGATATGTTCGGCAAGGACACGTTTAAGTAATATACTGTATCAGTGTGTAAAAAGAGGGTATGAGTGAGGACGTCGTGAAAGACAGTGACGGCGCAGATTACCACCTGCAATGGCGTTCTCATTGTCCCACCACACGGCATTACCTATAATAATCATAACATTGGCATTACCAGTTGTATGAAATTGATAAAAAGAACTGTGGACTAATACCTAGTCTCATGAAAATCCGTTGATCGTTTTCCGTGTTTTTCATGGTCAAAACTGTAGCTCATACAGTTGAATTTTATATATTTACAATTTATTTAATGACGCTTTTTCAATTGCTCAGATTATATAGCGTCGAAAGAGGATGTGAAAGAAAGCGATGCTGTCCAGGCATTTGCCTGGATGGAATGAGGAAAACCACGCCAAGTAAAGATAGCCTGTCTCCGGGCCGAGATTTGAACCCGGGACCTCCCGAATACGAAGCATTATTAACCATTTGACCACGACGTTCGGTCGTGAGGGTAAAAGACGCGATTGGCAGACGGATATGAATGGGCCCATTTGGAATTGTTCGCTAAGTAAAAGAGCAAACAGCGCCTATAAGTAGAAACAAGATTTTATAAGAGCTAGTATAAATCATGCGACTTTGTGTTGCACACCTTTACGTGCTGGAATTTGTGGTATATGAGAAATATGTTCGTCGCACTCATAAAATTTAATTCTGGTCTGCAGCTGAGGACAATATATGGTATTCCATGATGATGGATTTTAGGCGTAATGCGAAACCCAAAACATGTGCTAATTTTCGTCAATATATTTTATTGACGTCTAATACATTCCACGCTGCAGCTGAGACATGGACACAGCGATTTTTTGTAACGTGAAGCATGTGACGAATACCTCTTGCTGTAACAGAATATTACGTTACCTGCTATAACGTATGTGAGCATGAATTTAAAGAATGATTGGATGGTAACATTCAATCTGAACTGTAAGGTCATTTTACGATACCTTGCTCTACATCAATTCTCGCGCAACGCGATTGTCTGTTTTTTTACCGTTAGTATGGGGGATATGACGTTCATATCAGCCATTGCAGTATCAGATTCTTATGGAAATATATTCCGCGTTTTGAATGACAAATTTCTCAATAAAACCAATTTGTTATGGATTTAGATGAAAACACTAACGTACTAGATGAAGTAAGTAGCGTATTAATACTAAGTTAATTAAATGTGACTTACTTTTTTCTTTCAGTAGCAATATATTTTAAAATAATACTGTATACAATGGAAACAATTCAGTCATATGTTATTCACCTTCAATCGTGCAATCATTTCAGGTTGAAAATCTTTTCAAGAAGCTAGAATTGCTCCCAGACAATCTTAAACGAGCCGCGTTTAATAAAATTAAAGAAAAGTTGCCATTTCAAGATAAAGCACATATTGAACTTTGTAAGTACTGTATAAACTATAAAATTATAATACATTTTAGGATTTTTAATGTATTTCTGTAAGTGACATAACCTCATTTATTGGTGTTTATCATTGCAGTCAAAGATACTGATATAAAAGGTAAAAGACGTCCAGGAAGAAAGCGCAAAGTCCAGGTTTGTGAAAATGTATATGATGAAAAGAAGAAAGCTGAAATTCAATGGTTTTCAGAAAACAGGGAAACAGGTAAATAGACATTTCGGTCAGTGAAACATATTACAAAGAAGGAAAGACAACCAAGAAAGTTTGAGAATTGCATGTTTAATTACAACACCAGTGTAAGTATTGTTAATTTAGATCACCTCATTTTAAATCACTCTAGTTTTCTGTTAGTGACAAATAGCAGTTCAGCATTCCATCAGGTGATCCAGTTTTGAAATGTTTATATTGAATGCAAGTATTGTGATGGACAAAGCTGGACAGAAATATTGGTTTTGTAGTTTTCTTCCCTCAAGATGTCATTTATGTTGTCATTCCTTTGCACATTATCACTCTCAATGTCATCATCAAGTGTTGTACATTTGTTTCTTTACTTTTTTTACATGAATGTCATGCACACTGTTTTATTTTCAAGTTTATTGTACCTTCAAACAGTTGTGTGTGGTTTTTAATGTATACTTTATTTATTGTAACATGTTCTGTTCCTGAGTTCAGTTTTAAGTGTACTGTGTTTATTTTACTTCAGTCCATATCATAATTCTTGGGATCCATGAAATGCTTGTAGTCTATTAGTCCACATAAAGTGTTTTTGACGTAAATACGTCTATATGGAAGGGTCATTCCTCAAAAAAGTGTTACGAAAAAGTGACAGGAAAATGTGTAAGATCCGTATCAACAAATCGACAACAATGTGTAAATATTATCCGACAACAATGGTCAGCTTGAAGGAGTCTGAGATTTTAGTACTGACTCCACAGCCCTGTTCATAACCATTGTTTTTTTTAACTTTGCTTAAGAATGTATCATCAGGAACACCAAAGAAAACAAACAGATTAGGTTTGAATGAGACATGAGCTTCTGGTCTTTGCTGATGATATTAATTAATTAAATGAAAATAAATATTGCAGAGAAAATTAAGTAGATAATAAATCCTTTACAAACATATCTTTCTTCAGCTCCTGTGAAATTAAAGCTGTCCCACAATACACCATGTAGGCACTTGAGGGGAGAGGTGATGTAGCTCCATGTTGTTCCATGGATTCTTCAGTCCTAGAGATTTATGCCAGCTTTATACATATTTATTGAGACTTATTTATAGGTAAATATGTCTTAAAATGTTTCTCTGTTTTCATTTGTGTACAGAGTATGTGGTTGAAGATGTACTTACTAGCAGAGGACGCAGAGCAAAAAGGATCAGTTATGCTCACATGCATGGATATGGGAAGAACCATGAAGATATTAATGAAAGACCAAGGAATCTCAATGAAGAAAAGAAGGAAAAAAAAGAAATTCAGTATTTTGATAGTAATATTATTGACATAGTATTGCCAGTAAAAAGACCAAGAGTGTATTCAAAAAAAATTATTAATGTAGAAATTAAAGAACAGAACATAAATCCTAACAATATTGTATCCAATGCAGAGATTTCAGCTACAAGAACAGATGAGGCAAATGAAGTTATAATACCTAACAAACCAGTTTCAGTAGTACATAGTAGCGCAGAATGCATTGAAAATGAAAACTCTGAAGTGGTTGATGACCCTTCTGCAGTTCCAGAGGAAGCACAGACAGAAATTTCAAGCTGCTCAGAACAAGATAATGTAATAAACCATAGTGAAAGTGGCTCTGAGAAAGAAAACAAAGTTGGGAAAGGTAAGAAGATAATCTGATTCAGTACATAAGAGCTTGGATAAGGATACCTGATGTTGCTGGCTGTGTCCAGCCAACAAATGACAGATTCCATATATTGTGTTCAGCTTCAGTCTGTTTATGAAAGTTGTCATTATACTGTATCTTAAGGCAGCTGAATTCATTCCACACATTCACACCCTGTTTCTTTCATATCTGTTTTAATATTATTCTCTTGCATACACTTCAACACTTTACTCTTTATTTTTTAACTTGTGTCATGTGGGAATACAGAATTAAACTCCGGTACTCAGTGACTGCAAGCTGAACTTTCTGGGGTATAATGATATGCTAGTCAACATGATCACCAAGACTGTAAGTTGTAGTGCATGGATAATGAAAGTTAAATATCGGTTTCTACTTACGTATGTTATTAAATACAGCTGCTTTGTTTCAGGTGTGCAAAGAAGTTCACACATCACATCAGGATCAATCATTTGGAAAAGGCGCAAAGTTCCTCGAAACAGTAGCTTGTCTTGCCAAGACTGTAATTTCATGACAAGTAGCAGGTCATTATTAGAAATTCATACTCGTCGCCATACTGGAATTAAACCTTATGTGTGTCCAGACTGTGGCAAAGCTTTCCAGCAATCATCAGGCTTGAGTAAGACTTATTTTAATGTCCTTATTTTACTACCTTAGGGACTTGTTTTTAGTAACAAAGTTCTTTCTTGTGTAATTTCCTAAATTGACCACAAACTATCGATTTATTTCCATATGCTTGTAATTTAATATTTTTCTCTCAAAGTAATAACAAAATCTATGTTGAAGATTTTACTTATAATACCATCTAAGAAAGTAACATATTTATATTGTGATTATTCATCCTTTAGAATGTTCTGTTACTAGAAGTTATTGCACTGTTCTGATTTTCAATTTTTGTAACACAGATGTTCACATGAAACGTCACCGAGGCCAGAGAGATTATCCTTGTGATTATTGTGAATATCGAGCATATACAAAAGTGGACAAATTGCGTCACATGACAATTCATACAGGTGAACGAAATCAAGTTTGTCAGTACTGTGGCAAAGCATTTGCCAAGGACTCAACACTTCGAGAGCATGTTCGGAGTATTCATGAAAGGCCTTTCAAGCATGTATGCAGTGAGGTGAGAACTCTCACATTGTAATCTTTTATTACTGTAATTATAACAGTATTTAATCTGGATTAATATAGACACATCAAATCAGTAAGGTACCTAGGGTGAGATATGATATGGTTGCAGTGATGACAACACTTCAGTTTACTTTTTATTGAAGAAGAACTTTTGGATGAGATAACTACAGAAACCAGTCACTGTGCAAGTCAGTGTTTAAATACACAGGCAAATGGCATTGGCAAAGATGGCAATAATTGATAAGAAGTTATTATAATTACGTGTATGAAGATTGCTGTCTTCTGGAAAGTTGCTCCATGTAGTGTGGTAGATATTGATCAGTTTTTCAGAGGAGCCTACTATTTTCATCATCACCCTGAGCAGCAGTAAGCTGCTCTGAAGTGTCATTTAATATCTACCATACTACACAGTACAAAATCCCAGAAGATAAGACATCTTGTAAATAATTTGTGGCACCCCAGTAACAGTGATGAAATGTGGGTACTTTTTGGCATTGTCATGTTGAAGAGAATTGTGAAGAAGCCTATGTAACAGGAGTACTGGATGAAACATACTGTGATTTACACACCTTTCCTCGAAAGAATTAACTGAAAAAGAATTTGCTCTTTTCATACACTGAAGAATCTGACATTGCAACATATCCAATTCCTAAACTGACTAAAGTGTGATCTGTTTTTAGAACATGCGAGTATTATTTATTATACACCTGAATGAGACATCACTGTTGATGGAAATCTACTGCTGTAAAGTAGGAAGCTATTGGTTGCAGTAAATCTCATTGAATTGAGATGGATATGGAATGCACATGTCTTTGCAAGTCAGAAACTGGGTGTGCTTGGTCCAGTATAATTCAGTTTGAAGTTCAAAGATGATAAGTTATATTGAAAGACAAAGAGGACCTGGTATTAATTAGCACCCTCTATGAGTGTGAAATGATTGATGTAAACAAATGCATAAAGAAATGTACACCTGTAATTTACTATAGCAATGTTATAGGAGGAACTGACAGGGTAGAAGAACTTTTGATAAACTACACAGTCCCAAGGAAAAGAGGCAACACTATACTACAAGATGATCTTTTACCATATGAAACTTGTGCTATGGAATTCTCTCAAATTGTGGTAATTAAGAAGGTTATGGAAAACCGCTGTCCATATGTCAATCCTCAGAAGCATGTTGGAAGGGAAAATACTACATGCTCATGCTCATAGGCTGAGAGAGCAAGAGACACTTCCCAGAATTTATCTCCTGCTGAGAAGATGAATCCAACTTGCCAGTGTGCTGTGTGCACCAAATAAAGAGAATTAAAATAGAGACTAGATAATATTATACAAATTGTCATGTGCCACGGTGTGTTACACCATGCTTTCATATAACACAAGTAACATCTATTTGGACACCTGAGATATCTCAGGATAACAATGAAAAGTTCTTATAAGGTACTTATTGTTTCTTAGTTATATAATTTAAAAGGAGGAGGTATATACATTGCATTATTTATCTTTGTAGTACATACATTTGGAATAAAAGAATACAATTTTTTGGGTCATCCTTATAAAAGAAAGGGCAGTGGGTAGAGAGTTTTTAGAAAAAATGTCCAACTACACGTGGAATATTAGTCTGTTGTAATGTGTATTTTATGCATTTTATGTGGAACTTTAATGGTAGAATTGTAGAAAGTTTTTCATTTACCAATGTACTCCATTTTAATCATACTGTTCAAGGAAAATTTTCTTTCTGTAATTGAGAATTTACTTGAACTTCTTTATGTTTTGACAGCCATAGTATATAAAATAAAGCAATGTCATCCATGTGCATAAGCATTATTTTATGAAGGTATGTAGGGAACATTCTTCACCTAGGCATTACATACAGATGAGAGCTTAATGCACCAATGGCTACCCATTGGTTGGAGGCTGCTTAGGTCCTGCAGCCAATATGAGGTGGCAGAGAAAAATCCTGATGTACTGAAATTGAATTCTAATTGTCCAGCTTATAAGCAGCCACTTTCTATCATGCTGCTCTGATGCATAACAATGGTGCATAGCTGTGTTTTCCAATTATGATTAGTATTAATTATTAATATTAAATTCTTCCTGTATCAAGCCAGTATTGCTGTGCACTGTCCATTGGTGGAACTGTGTTCAGTTATACTGGTCATTAGACTGAAATATAGTTTATATTTTTACAATTGTAATTTGTAGAGTTTTCACAAAGAATAAATGGTTTGATCGTTCATCAGTAATGCACAGTTCATAAATTATCATTGTTTATGTTTTCACTTGTTTGCATAGTGTGGTTTTACAACATATCGGGCCAATAACTTGAGAGTACATGTGCGCATGAGGCATCGTGGGGAGTACAACAATCATGTGTGTCCAGTATGTGGTGCACGTGTTAAACAGCGGAATGCATTCCTTGAACATATGCGTGCACATACTGGGGAGAAACCATTCAGGTATCTTGTTAATGTTAATGCTAAACTATTATTAATAGTTTAGCAAAATTCAAATGATTATTATAACCCCCCCCCCCCAAAAAAAAAAAAAAAGGGGGGGGGGAAAGGAAATAGTTGTCCTTTCTGGTCCTGTTTTGTTAAGCGATAATGTCCAGTACATTTGTATGTTAAATTTTGATGGACAGTTGACATGTGTACGCGAATTTGAGTACACAGAACATTCTTTTTCTTGTATTTTAGTTGTAGTGCTATTGTCCAAAGACCATATACACTCTCCTCTTACCTTTCTTCCTTGAAAGTCACTTGTTAAAATAAGAATTAGTTTTCCATTAACTGAAGGGTTATTATTAGAAGTATAGTGATCTAATACAATATGTAAAGGAAAGCAAATACATATAACAGACACATTTATTTGTTGTAATTAACAGTGATTAATTTTAAATGTACAACATTAATTACACCAGAGTAAAAATGAAAAACGCAAGTATATAAAGAAAATAAATTGAAGTGGCCCTGTGCAACATTTACTGTCTCATTGGTAGAAGTTGATGCCTTAGGTTCAGATATTTGACTTTGGCATATAGTGAACATTCATTGTACATACCACAAGTAGGATATTTTTAAAATTTGCTCAAAGAAAAAAGTGTACATTTGTAAATGATTATAAAACAAAGAACTCATGTACATGCAAAAAATGTGTTGAATTTGCAATTATTAACTTACTCTATGGTTCAGAATCTTTCTTAAGCTGTTGATTATTCAGCTGATCAAGAAATTCCCCATTTTATGTTGAACCAAAATTGTTGCCACAAGTTTACAGTTACATCTTACTTCTTTAAGATTTGTTTTATGTTACCCTCTGATCTATGTCTAGGTCTCTCAAGTAGTATCTTGCCTGCTGACTGCAGTTTTATGACTAGATGCTGATATTTTAAATTCATAGTTTTAGATGTGTCTCAACTTATGTAAGTTTGTTTTTAGCAGTGATTTCTCTGCAGCTGTCAATTGTAGAACAGACAGTATGAAAAATTCTGTATATTTTTAATTAATATTGCAGTAGTTTTTCCTGTCTCTGTAATTGATCTTGGCAGTGTAGCATTTCAAGCTTTAGAAATTATGTGTGCTAGTATATTACATGTACTGTGGTTCAGAATCAGTATTTGTAAGTTGTATTTGAACACAAGGAATTCCAGAATAAAGAATTTCATTTTTATTCTTTATTATATCTTTAGCAAGGAAGTCTGAAAATTAATTTCAAATCACAAAAATTGTTCACTTGTTTGTTAGTTTGCTTCCTTCCACCTTCCAGTGCTTTCTGTGTCCTTAGTAGGTAAATACACACACACACACACTCAAAATCACAGTGTTTAGTAGACAGCTATGTCTGTGTTTCACAGTTTAACTATACAAGTCATTGTGTGTATGTATGAGTACCCTCTGATGGATAAAAGTAATACTACAATCCAGAATTTGTATAGTTATGAGTAAAATTTACATTAAAATCTCTGGTTTAATTTAGTTCTCATCAGTTGGTTGTTTCAGGTGTGAACAGTGTGAGAGCTCATTTGCCTGCCTGGCCAGACTGACTGTACATCGTAAATCTGTTCATGAGCCTAGGCAATTTCCTTGCTCCCACTGTTGCAAGACTTTCCAAACAAAGCACCATTTATTACGTCATACTGTTATACACACCAAAGCAAAACCTTTTTCTTGCCCATTTTGCACATATTCATGCAATACTCAAGGCAACATGACGAAACATGTGAAGACAATCCATCACATGCCACATTTTTCGTACAGAAAGTAAGTGCTATTGAATGAAGAAATAAATTTCTGATAATCACACTTGTTTGCTTTATAAGGTGTAAAGATAATAATTGTTTGGGGAAATTAAAAATAACATACTGAGTGACAGTTCAGAATGTTTTTATGTGATTATACTTAATGAGTACATTATAACATGGCATGTTAAGTTTGAGTGGTGATATGTTGTATGTTTTCTTTCAGGTACAAAGCAGATCTGGAATCGGAGGCATTTTCTAATGTAAACCCAGAATGGGTAGAAAAGGGCCAGAGAGTCACGGAACTGTATCTGAAGGATCTGTCTACAAAACTTGGTCGAAATGTAACTCTGGATGAACTCAGGGAACGAGAAAGTGAGAAGCAGAAGCGTATAAATGATGAAGCAGAACAAGCCAAAATCAAACGCATGAATCGGATCCATGCACCAGAACATTCCTATCATTCACGTGTTGGTAAAATGGCTTTATTAAATTCAAAAACAGAAACTCTGAATCTTGAAGGGGAAGAAATAGTTGATCCATCCACATTAATTCTTCAAGTAGCAGCACAGAATGCAGATAATTTTATAGGTACAGTGAATGATGAAGACTTGTCGTCACCATCACATATTGTCCAAGTGGACTTATTATCAGGTATGTTGGGGTATTCTGTTTTAAAAATCAGAGTCACATAAAGTAGTGAAATGTTACAAATAAATCCCCTCATTACATAAATAGATAAATTATACTTCACATTTGTAGTATATTAAGTAAGAAAACCTTTATGAATATTATGAGTTATTTGTAAACATTAGAAATTCATCAACTGAGTGAAAGGGGTGTGTTATTAAGTATCTTTTTAATACCACTTTAAATTGTACCTTTTTATTTAGATGACTTCTGAGACATGTGGTAGACTTGAATGTTGATGCCAGCATATGTGCTTTTCTGAAAACATGAAAGGTGAACAATTCATATATGAAGCTGATTCTCATTCTTTGTGTTGACACTGTGTAAAGTGGAATTACTTAGAAAACATCCTTGGTTATTTACAATGAAGCTCATTAATGGGAATGTAGGAGCTAAGACCTCTCTCTCTTAAACAGATATCTATGGAAGTTCTAGTTTTGGCATGCATCTGCATGGCAGCAGAAGAAAAATCACCCTGGCCTCTGAATAACTCACTGCAGCCTGAGTCAACTGCCCTCAAAGGACTATAAACACTAATGACTAGTTAATAATTCTGTTTTCAGACATATATTTTAAGGCCTTCTATCAAAGTAAAATAATGTGTTATACAATCTTACAAAACAACTGGTAAAATCATTATTATATTTAGTATATTTAATGATTGAAAGTAGATGATAGCAGGTTCTGAGCTGAATAATAGCAGATATCTCCTGATTGTTTCTTTTTGTAACTTATTCCTTACACTGGGCAGATAAAGGACATTCAAGTCTATAGTAAGGCTGGTGTAACATGTTTGATTTGTGTGTCTGTTTCATTCACAGGTATAAGTAATGAGGATGCTCCTAAAAGTGAGGCTTCTCAAGTAACTGTAGCTCCACACATAGTGCAAATACTGTCAGGCATGAACAAGGATGAAAATGCAAAAAGTAATACACAAGTCATTCATATACAGACTTCAGAGGCAGGACAAGGCAGTGAAATGGAAGAAGGTGGTGAGTTTGAGACTGTTATCGTATCAGATGGTGAAGAAGGAAGTGATTTTGTAGCAGGGGAAGTTTATGAACTTGTGTCAGGTCAGAATCTGCAACTGTGTTTAAATGCAGACTACATTGAAACTGGAGATAGTAATACTATTCAGGTTTTACGGCAAGAGTCGTCAAAAAGTGACGAAGCTTACAATGCAGATCAGGATTGTGAACAACAGATGATTGAACTTGGAAGTACTGGTCATTTCATGTCAAACAAAGAAGGCAGTTCTGAAGAAATAGATACTGTTGTTGTAATCATAAACACAGACCATTCTCAAGAAAACACTACTTTGTAATTTTGTGTTAACATCATAAATTGTAAAAATTATTTCTATGAACGAAATTTGAGGCAGCTAATGAAGAACAGTGCTTGAAGTCGGAGAAAGAGAAGCTGGATTGTTATGATTTTTCATTACATTGCTAGATAATTAATTATTCAAGAAATATGAATGTAATATGAGAAATTTCCAGCCTTTAAAATTGTATAGTGCCTCTTTACTTTCTGTATAATTTGAGATCAGATTAATATAAAACTGCCTGAATTGTAATTCTCTTTTTCTTGTGGAAAACTAATTACCATAATGATCAGGTTGAGTAATTAACAAATTAAAACTACTGCAAAACAGGGATGCTGCTTATTGCATCAGTTTGTTTTAATTTTGGATCACACCTTTGGCTGTAAAGGTGTGAAGGATTGTAACAGTATCTCGAATCACACTCCTACACAGTAGAAGAAGTTTAGTTTAAATTGTAATACTCAGTTCCTTGATGTAATTACTGTAATACTGTATTATATCACATATGTCTGTAAATAGTTGTTAAAACTTTGTATTTAATCTGTTGTATTTATATGATTACATATTGTAATCCTATCTGTAAATAGCTGTTAAATGATGTATTTACTCTACTGTATTGCATTTGTGTTATGACATACTCTACGTCTTTGGCATGGACCTGTGAAGGATCTATGGAAATGTAAATAAATCTGTTCTACTCAATACAGTGTACCAAGTGAACTCTGTGTGAAGTGGATAGTGAGGGTTTTAAAGCATTTTACGAAAGTAAGAGTGTTTGAGTTTAATAATTCACAGTAGTGATGTATAATAATTGACAAAATAATGCTAATTGTTCCATACATAGGGATTGGGCCCAACAGAGTAGGTATACCTGAAGATGGAGATAGAATCCCATCTCTGAAACGTCATTCTATTTTATTAGATAATGGAAAACATGCAAAAAACTTTATTTTAAAAACTTTTAATAAGTTTAAGAATAGTGGTTATTAATTTTATGAAAACATGTATTCATGGAATACAGACTGTGGTAATGTGATAGGAAACAAAAGACGAGTGATAGAAGGACTATATACAGAGGTCCAACTGGTATAACACTGGTAATTGGACACCGATGATGGTTCAGTCTAGGCGAAATGCGGTTACGATTAAAAACAATTAAAATGTAAGAAGAATCGTATATCATGGGGGACAGAAATTAAATTCTGTATGGACATTATTCAACAAGTTTCTCTTGTTCTCACTGGTCAATTCTGAAGATACGGGTGTTTGAAGTTGTGTAGTGTAGTGGTAATGAATCAATTTTTCATAATCTGCGCATGCGCATTACTAACCCGACCGACATAAAGACGCTTCCTTCACATTGTTAAATATAACCAAACTATGTAAGATTTGAAGTTTTCACAGCGGTGAGTATGACAGGGCAGTATGACTTCTGAAACGTTGGTAAACATCGACCAGACTAAACAGCCCAACAACCCAGAAGACAGAAATCTTCATAACAAAACTATTCGGATATAAAGTGCAAACAGCGTTCAAAACATCGATCACATGAAGAACAATCTATACATAATCATTAAAACAAAAACCGATATACACTTTTCTTAACTGATATAATTAACTTTTTAAGCTCAGACTGGTCTTTTAAAATTCTCCATGTTCTTTACTGGAATTCGTTAGTTGAAGATGTGGTTACATATGGTTACAAAGTACGCAGCAACCATATAAACTAATAATTTTATTTGTGATATCTGAAAGGAGGTAAAAAGGCGGGTGGTGATGAGAATTTTTGTTGTGTAGCTGTAGTTTCTATATAATTTGTGTGTTTGTTTGAACACAACTCGATCTCTTTAAAGTCTTTTATATTTGGTGAGGTAACTTAAGTCAAGTTAGAATTGTGTGTACACATATTGTGTCTATACTTTTGATATCAACAACACGAATCTTTTAGCGTCACTGACACTTGAAACATTCTATCCAGAGAAATACTACATAAACCTATAATTATACAGACTTGTTGATCCTGATATCTGTGTGTTATGTTATCGAACCTTGCGTGTTGTTTTCTTTAAATTAGATTAATCATAATCTACGATGGCAGACGTAGAATTCGTGATTCCTGCGAAAAAAGATGAGCTACTGCAAGGGGAGCCAGGCCAGTACACTGTTACTAATGTCTGCAACCTTCCTGAGTTATCAACTAAGCTTTCAGGTAATATGCCACTGTTTTGTTTATACAGCCCTGTAACATGTCACAGCCTTTTACCGCTTACAATTGTGGCAGTTAATGGTTTACATAATGTCTTACAGACAGAAGATATGTGATAAAAATCTCCAAAAAAACGCTTGTGTTAATGTTTGTTGCAAATGGGGTAAAGTTCAGTATGGACCTCAAGGTTCTTGGTTCACTCCTTTTTCTGTTTTATGTTAATGACTACCACTCAAAAGTAACAAAGTCTCTACACCTGTTCTGTCTGTTGAGGAAACTGTTGTGTGATCAGGTCCAAAACCTTTGGAAGGTATCATAGCACTTTGTTCATTTTCACAGTGTGGGCTGTCTTTTCCCCTTGTCTTCTCCATTATGGAAGTGACAGTATTGCTAGGGTAAGCCAAATTTCCAAATCATATTTCTCTGTAGACCTCTTCTCTTCATTATGTTTCATACATATTTAATGGGATTAAGGTCACAGTCATATTAAATTAGTATAGAAATGAAATAGCTCTGTACCAGAGGTCTGGCTTGTTTCTTCTTATTATTTACAGTAGTTCTTTGTCATGTAATTAAAGGGACTATTCACTGGCTTCACAAGTTCTGCCATTATTTTTGATATTTTAAGACATTGGAGCCCTAGTTACTAGGGTGCATTGTCCGTGAACATATTGCAGTTGGTGGGTAAGTTCTTGATTAGTTTCCCATTTAATACTTTGAAACATGAAGTAAGCCTGTCTTTGTATCTGCTATCTAAAAATGTAAAGATTAAAATATATCTATATAAAAGGGGCAAAAGTATGAAGTTCATCTCCCTCTGCTACAGAGATCAAGAATTCTTTAAATGATACCTCTGTATTCGCAGTATACTTGTGTGGAGTAGTGTTAGACACGTATAACAGTTGAGCAAACTGGCTGAAATGGTAATGCATATAACTTCATTAATAAAGCACCATGTTTGAATCTTGCCTGAGACACCAATGATCCTGAGTCAGGATTTTTGTGGTTTTCTCAATTCCTTCTAGAAAATTCCAGGACATTTGGTGAAATAGGCCATACATAATTTCTCCCTAATCCTTTTAAAGCTTACTGAACACAGTTATCTTACATCATTTTATGCAAAATGAATTATGCAGTTGATACACCATTGTTAAATAGCTCCTTCAAGGGTTATAAATTCTTACTTTTATGTTTAGTAGTTAACGAATTTATCTGTTTTTACAGACTGCAGAAATGCTATTAGTGAAGTTGGTACTGACTTTATTCTCGACCATTTTGATTCCCTTTTCTCCGTGCTAGTTCACTTCAAACAAGCTGACTTATCTACATTGGCAAAAGGATGGAATGTCATTATGAAAGGTATGTGGTATTAATTACAAGAGGTTTCAGGTGGACCAGATATATAGAGCATATTTTTCTATTGCACAGATTTATAGTCTACAACTCGTGTGTGTGTGCATGCTGGAGTGTAAAGGTGTTCAGTTTGTTATGTCAAAGAAGTAAAAGGAATTGAAGCATATGTATGTTTAGTTTATTGACTATATTTTTAGTCATTCTGGCAGAAAACTGTATCTTCTGTTTATAGATGTCCCTCATATTGTTATGTTACAAACTTTTAGAAGTTTATGATTTTGCTTCTTTTGTGTTTTGTAAAGGATATGGTATGCTACAAAATAATTTGGCTCTACTGCTAGAAGAGGGTGACCTTGACTCTGATCTGCGATTTAAAACTGTGAATATTACAAAAATGGCAACATACATTTTGACACAAATGATGAGAGGCTTTGAAGAAAAACTGTCTCAGAAGTCAAGCAATGGAATTCTCATTGACATCGGAAAAGTAAGATTTTATACTGTACTTATTCAAATACATGAACTTCTGTGTATCATTTATTTTAAGGAAATTCGGTGGTGTAAGCAGTGTTATGCTTCTCATATAGTCACTCTTTATTTTAATTCTCTGTGCACCTATTTTCTCAAATCAGGCTCTAGTGACAAAGTTATGACAGCATGGAAGAAATAAAATTCCAAAATTTTGGTGAGATTTTCTCTGTTTCTGAAGCCTATCAGCACCAGCCAGTACCCTGTCATAGCTTGTATTTGGTGTGGTATGCTTAATGCTCATTGGTAAAAGGCTCCATGTCATAGGCTCTATACTTTATGTGGAATCTTTTTTACCCCTCGTGCGGAACAGGTTCAACAATAATCTATGGTGGATGGGACTGGCCAGTGATTGCTGGAGTTTACCTCAAGCTGAATAACTTGTTTCACCACTACATCTGGTCTCCCAAGGGGATGATGGGGGCAAGGCAGACTCCCAACATTTTGAGTCATATTCCGCACGAGGGCAAATTGGAAGTCTCTGTGAGTCATTTTGAAACCACAAGATGTTAGGAGGAGGATCTTGTTCAAAATCATGAAGTCTGACAGAGAAACTGTTTTGTCCTTTTCGCAGTACTGTGTTCTATTGGGTAACTGTTGGCCATTCTCTCACCTCTGTTTGTATGACCCATGTTTTAGTTGTAGCCTTGTTTAATTGTAGGGTTTATAGCATTTACTTATTTGCCATAGAAGTGTAATTTGTGTTGGTGGATTGTTCATGTTTGTCAGTTTGTATAAGTCATGTTTACATTGCCGTAATGTTATCTCTAGTCTTAGATTATGTAATGCTGTGCTGGTTATATGTTTAATTGTATCAAGTTCTGTGGTTTTCCCTTTCTTTTAGGTCTGACTGTCTTGCAACAATTGACTTATTTTTATAAGATCGTTGAGTAAGTTTGGATAGGAAAGAAAGATGTTCACATATAGCTTACATCTGAGTCCTTCCACCTTTTTGTTAGCAATATGCAATAGCATGTGTTGCTGCCATGTCTGTTGTTGCATGTGTCCTAGCCTTCCCTAAATAAACCTCCATGTCATATGTATAACCTGACCTGTCATAGTTTGTAAAGTCTTATTTAAAAATATTTGTTTCTTAGGAAAGTACTGTTGGGAATTACCCTCTCTTTGTAAAGTTCTGTAACTTTGTCCAAACCCAGATATATGGAAAGGTTGTAATACTTTGAGTAGGCATCATTGAGCAAGTCGGAAAGATATCTATGTTTTATTAGATTGTCATAGTTTGTGTCATTTTTCTTAATTGTGATTTGTACTGAATATGGTATTGGATATCAGTCTTTCATTGTATCCTCTTGAAGTTGTATAACTGTTTCTCTTTGGCACTCTTGGTCAGTACCTGTAAAGTGAGCCAGAGTAGCTCAGTCAGTATAGTGACTGACTACGGACTGGATGACCGGGGTTCGATCCCTGACAGGTAGAGGATTTTTCCTCTAGCCTCTGCATCCAGACCAGCTCTGAGGCCTACCCAGCCTCCTGTCTAATGGATAGTGGGGTCCTTTCCCCAGGGCCTGGGATGTGATGCTTACCACTCACCCCTGTCTAGTGCCGAGGTTAAGAATGAGTGGGAGCTATGCTACCTCTCCCCCAAGTGCCTACATGGTATATAGTGGGACAGGTTTACTTTACTTATTTTTTCAGTATCTGTAAATGTCATTTTGCATTGCCTGGCAATGATATTTAAATAACTGCAGGACAGAATGCCTGAAGAAGATCATCACCATCATTACAAAAACCACCATTCATAGATTGATATAGGATTAACATCTGATTTCTTTAATTTTCAAGGGCCGCAGAAAGAATAACAAGAATACTGAGTATGATGCTTTTAACTGGGAAGGAAAAAGGCATAGTGCCTTGGTCCTGCTATACAATCTTTTACAGCTTCCATTAAATAAATTATGGGAACCTCCTATAGCTGAGGAAGAATTTGTCAAGTAAGTGGATTTTTTATGAGTGGAAGTAATTAGTAAGTATGTATTGCAATAAACAGTAATTATTTAGGTCTGTACTGTGTTTGACCTTTTGATGAGAATATGAGCTTTTTTAAAATTAGTTTTTCACTGATTTATAAAAAAAGGTGATAAAACTGACTAATAATTATCAAGGAATATCTTTGTCATTACTTATAATTTTGCCCAACATTCTTCTCTTATGGTTAACTTCATATCTAGACAAAATTACACAGTATTAGCAGTGTCAACATAATAGATAATCCCTGTTCAGATATTCTGAACTGGTCAGATACTGTGGTAAAAATGGAAGTACAGTGGGGAAGTACATAATTTTTTATAGATTTCAGGAAAGCCTGTGGTTCATTTAGAAAAGAAGTATTATACAACATTCTCATTTCTCACATTAAGGGAGGATCATAGACTGAGGGTACTGCCAAACACAGTGAGAACATTTGGACATATGAGGGAGAAAGTGGCAGGAGACTGGGGAAATTGCATAATTAGGAGCTTCATAATTTGTACTTTTTTACTATTTATTTATGATTTATTAATGATGATGTCAGTAACTCAGACTGTATAACATTGGATGATGGTATGATTAATGTGATGAACAGAAAGAATGTGGAAGGGGTTTTGGCCTAATTTATGTTATATTCTGGCATTTGCCTGGAGGGACTAGGAAAACCATGGAAATCTTCAGTCAAGAGCAGCCAGTATATAGGTTGAGGTATGATTCAAGATAAGGTGGGAGAGGTCAGATATCAAGAAGATGAAATCGAAGCGGATGAGGAGGACAGATCTTGTAGCATGAATGGGAGAGATGGAAGGGCATGCAGGACTTTGGCCAGGAAACCTCAAAAGAAGAAACCATTTGGGATACCTTGGTATAAAGTGGGAGAATTTGGACTGGATATAGGAACCAGTGGCAGGCTTTTGTGAACACTAATAAACCTTTGAGTTTCATAATAGATGTTTTCAATGATATGGCGTACCACCCATTTTAACAGATTTCTTTGACCTGCTCTGAATAAAAGGTTTCTAGGCTGTTTGATGTGAAGTGATGTCTCTAGTCCATTGTTCCATGACTGACTATGGCTCAACAGCCCGAAGCTGAGCCTTGGCCTCCTCCCAAGTGGGAGGTTTCTTTGTCTTTGAAATGCACATTTATGAGTAGTGAGTGACAAGCCCACTGCCTCTGCACAATTTCTATTCAATCCTGATTTGTCTGCCAGAGCCATCTTGTAGTGAATCAGGAGAGGCTTGGGTGAGAATTGGCCCCTGAATTTTGCTTATGAAACATCTTGTTCATGCTCGTAAGGTTCTTTTACATGCCGTAAATCTACAACATGGGACCACCAACTTTACTTCCCCTCCGAAGGAAATTGTGCTAAGGACTTATATCACCCTTAAAAATTCATTGGCCTTGGCCTGGTTTGAAGCCGCAAGCCTAGGGTCCATTGGTGAGCACGCTAACCACAAGTACACCGAGTGCAACCCATTATCCCATAGGTCACAAAATTTGACATTCCTATAAGCTGTAAATAACAAAATTCATGTGAAACCTAATTGTTGTTTTTGCTTATAGTCTTATTGCTGATTGCTGCTATAAAGCTCTTGAAGATCCTGGTATTTCAGCAGCCAAGATGAAATACATGCGGGAAACAATATTTCAGGTGCTGGGAATACTGATCAAACGCTACAGTCATGGCCTGAGCTGCACTATCAAGATAGTTCATGTAAGTACTTGGGTTTCTTCTGGAGTTTCTGGAGTGATTTAAGGTATTTCTTTGAAATGCTTGTTTTTACTCAGGTCTCAAGAAATTCCCTGTTTTTATGTAACCTGATGTTTTATTGCCATGTTCATAGAAACCTACCACTGAACCCTCTCTTGAGCCAGATGAATCCAGCTCACAGCTGCACATCCCGTTTTTGAAGGTTTATTTCAATGTTATCCTCCCATCTCTGTCTACATCTCCTAAAGATTCTCTTCCCTTAAGTCTTTCTGATAATTTTTATTAATACAAATGACAAAGATTCTTATTATTTCTTTGGTCCTTGTCTATTTATCCCTATGTCTTTTTCAACATTTTAATGTAAACACAATTTAGTGCGCTCATCCTGTAGAGTGAGTTTTATTATTTTATTTTAATTTTCTGATTTTTAGGTAAGACACAAGGTAAAATATTCTAAGCTGAATAATAGTTGGCATTTTGAATTTGCTCATAATTTCATAATGAAGTTAATAATAATTTGGTTTATTAATGTCATTTCCAAATACTTGAAGTCTGCCTTATTTTCAAAGGATTTATTAGCTATTATATTTTGATTTTGTCCTGTGTTCTGGTGGTGAGTTTATAGCTGTGTTGTACATGGATCTGTAATTTGTATTGAGCATGGTATTACTACTTTTTAGTTCCCAAAGTCTCACGAATGCTTTTTTCTTCTTCTGGAATTCTGTTTATTTTTTGGAACCTTGTTAATGAGCCTTGTATGTTTGCCCTTCCATTCCATTTTAATTATTTTTTGTTAATATTATAAACCCTGATTTTAAGTATCTTGCTTTTGGAGGAAACCCATCTGTTGTAACACTTGTTTTGTCATAATAATACAACGTGGCTGCTGTGTGATCTTGTGGTGTAAGAACAATGATAGTGTAGTACTTATAAATTAGTGAAGAAAGTTGTTTTTGGTTTTGTGTGTACAACTAAAGTTTTGCGTTCAATGTTGCTCTTTGCCTGGATTTGATCATCCTTTGTTTAAACTTCTAAAATAAGACCACTATATTTTGGGAGCCAGCCTGCTCCCATCTTTAGGTGAAAATAACCTTTTCTGGTGTTATTATCATTCCCCATTCAGGCTGTGTATGTAGTCAGTCACTTTTATTTTAGTACTGTAACAATAATAAGGGACCAGTGTAAACCACAGATTCCTCACTGTGTAATATCTAGTATTACTTAATTTATCCCAAATAGGTAAAAATATTTTCTTGAGCACATCATTTTCTAACACTTTCTTCAAAGTAAGAGGAATAATTTTACATATCTTTCTCTGTACTGATTTAGAAAGTAGCCTGGTTATGAACAGGGTAAAAAGTAATTTGGTTGGGACTCTAATGTGAAGGTGTGATCCAGTATACCATATCTGAAAACTGTGTTAGTGGAAACAGAAGAGATTTGCATATTTATGTACATGTTTCAGTTGTTGAAGCTGTATGAGCATTTGGTAAGTCCATTAGCTCAAGGTGTTGTGCAGCTGGTGCAGGAATTTGGTTGCCGGACTATTATTCGTGAGTTGGTACGTGAAATTAGTGACACAGACAGCTCTGATCTGATGCAAGATACATCTGGTGCGAGAGCATATTCACAGTTCCTTGTGGAAGTTGCCGAGAGAGTTCCAGAGCTTATAGTGCCAGCTATCAGTTCCCTTGCTGTGCATCTTGAAGGAGAGGTATGCTTAACTTCTTAGTGCTGGTCTCTCAAGACAATAGATACTGTGCTCTACGAACACATTTGCAATATGCACCCTGTTTTAAAGCTGAAAATACAGTTTTGGTGGTCATGTGATATCTGTGGGTGACAGCCATTGAAATGAGAGAAATGACAGAAAGAAATGTAGTTTGCACCAGCTTCTCCTATTATTTGTCAGAATGTTATTTGTTTGTGTGACAAACCCCTTTAGTACTGCTCATGTTTTGTTAGCCTGCAATAATTTTTTCAGAATGATTGTGATGTTTATGTCTGTCCCCCCACCCTCCTCATTCCAGTGATAATGTGGTTTGTGGTTTGCCTATACAGATTATTTTGTGCATCTACTCTTACTGGCTACTGCTGAAGGTAAATTTGTGTTTAAAAGCTTTTATTCCTGTAACCCCTCTACCAGTTTCCATAAACTCCACTGCCAAAATTGATGTGCAACCTTGTAGACAATTTTTTTAACTTTCCATTATTTCAGGCAGTTTCATTTATCCAGTCTTCTCTGAAGCTCTTGTTTGGAAAATTGTCTCTGAAATATTTGAATCTTTACTCTGTGTCAAAAACTGTAATGCATCATTTTCAAATCAACCATGATACAGACCTATTATATTGTCATAAAATAAATGTCACAGCTTATTTTGACAAATGTAGTGAGTACAAAATGAAAGATGTAATACTCTATGTGTAAAACATTTGTTTAAATGGTTGTGAAATAAACTGAAGTGCTGGAATTCCAGGATTTTACCACTTTCTGTTATAGCATGGGATTCACTATTCAGTAACGCTATATTCTGTTCTCCACTCATGCAAAAAGCACTGCAACATTTCTTTCTTTTTTCCCCCCAGTCTCCAGCAATGAGAATGTGTGTCTTAGGAATAATGGGAGAAATAGTTCTGCGTATGCTGAGTGCAGAGGATTTAGAAGAGAGTTCACGTAATATGCGAGATCAGTTCCTTGATCACCTTGAGGATCATTTACATGATGTTAATGCATTTGTAAGGGTGAAGGTAAGATTAAAGTACTATAAGGAAGTATAGTTAAAACTATGAGCTTTTCACAGCAGTGAGAACTTATATTGTGGTGTTCTGGATTATGACATGTAGTTTTGTAGGTGGTTACCAGTGTTTTTGAGGAGCCTGTTACTATGAAATGTTGGTAATAATCTCCTGCAAAGCTGCACCAACACTATAACTCAGAAGACCACAGTACAAATAGGTAGAAAAAAATCCTCATGTAATTCTTCATCTGTCAATTAACTTTTTGAGTTCTGCAAGGTATGCTAGTTCTGCCATGATCTGACTTGGCCCATGGTTAGAGACTGTTTTTTTTACTGTTGCATATAATTGAAATATGATAAAAGATGACAGATAAATGCAAAGTATTTAGTTTTGTATACTTCCTGGTTCTTAATTTGAACACAAAGAACTTGAGATGTGTTATTCAGTTTTTATGAAACAATCTGGCAATTCTATAGGCTGTAGAACTTTGTCTTGGCAGTAAAAGAGTTAAACTGAACATTGCGTTTGAATGGTTAGCACTCCTGGTAGCCATTTTAGAAATTTGTGTGGTTGCCATATTGATATTATTGATGGAAGGGATCAGTTGATTGAAGATTAAGGGCACGTGCGATGTAGTAATATCATTAATCTTTATTTCCATATGATATTAAATAGGCTGAAAAGGGTATGATACGTGAAGGTGAGAATGTTATCTGAATAAGAAAAATTGTTTGAGATTTTTTGTTTACCATGTCTGACCTTTACATGAGGTGTCAACCAAATGCACCACAGTATATGATACTGAAGGATACAAACGTTAAACTTTTAATTTTGTGGACTAAGTATTTTTAATTTGAACACTAATGTAAATGCACCTTTCCAGGTTCTTCAAATATGGCAACGTCTCTGCCAAGAGAAGTCTATTCCCTTATCACGACAGAGTCAAGTGTTGAAACTGGTTGTAGGTCGCCTTCATGACAAGAGTTGCAATGTAAAAAAAAATGCCATGCATTTGGTGACTGCATTTCTCGAAGGAAATCCATTTGCAGCTAAGGTTTGTTGTCCTGCTTTATTTTGAGGCATCTCATGACATTGGATGTGTGTGTATATTACCTTTGATTCCTAGTGCTGATGTAATTTATGCAGAATTGAAACATTAGAACTAAGCATAGGTTTTGTTTATTTCTTGATAAACAAATGCTATAAAATAATCAGGTAAAAATTACAGTAGGCAAAATAGTTATCCAGTGTTTAATTAAAGCATCATCCCTTGAAGACATATAGGAAAGTGAAATTACAGCTTCACATTTTTTTTATATTGGCATTAGATGGAAGTTAGTTTCATGCTCAGCCTGCTTTATCCCAATGAAGTATTTCCTAATACGTATTGGATATGAGGCTGAGTAGACCACAGAGCCAGTGTAAACATTGGTAAAGAGAAAAATTTATGCTCCTGCTGGGAACAGAACCCTGTCTGTCAGCCTCTAGTTTCTCGTCAATATACTAACTGAAGTGCATTGTGTTACATTTTACCAGTTAAGTTTAAAGGAGCTTCAGTCACAACTGCAAGTAGAGATGAAGTCCCTAGAAACGCTTAAAGGGAAGAGTGGCAGCGAGGCTTCCAGAAGAAAGCATGTTACTGAGCTAAAGAGGGAACAAATGTGGCTTGATCGTGAACAAGAAATTGCCAAAGTTATTGAAGATGTCTTACATACAGGTAATAGTAGTGAGTGGAGATTAAGGAAAACTTCAATTTACTATGCAGAATCATTGGCACAACCAATTTTTTAACATATTTGGAAAGCGTTGCATAAAAGAAATTTTTTCCAGCGGTTTCTAATGAGGTACATATTCTTTCCATAGCTTTCTACACTAACAGCACTTGCCAGTTTTGTTTTTTAAGCTATTTGAAGCTGGTGGTTTATAAAGATACCACCCTCTGTGCCTTCTAGTCTAGGAAAATGAAGTCCACTGTGAGTGGCTTACCATCTTTAAATGTTAGCCAGTGAGAAATGTTCATCTTGTAATATCATCTAAATTCTGTCTTCAGTTTGGTAGGGCAGGATTCATAAACCTTTGCCACAACACAAAAACAAATGATCATTTTCTGTAATTTAGCTACATTGTTTCTTTTGGGTGGATCATGTATTGCCACTAAATAGGAGCTGTCTCTATTACACTCTTACAACAGAAAACTGTTTTTGGAGTTAGTTCCATTTCATAGTGTTACTAAAGGAGTAAACATAATTGTGTTCTAATTTATTTATTTAAATTAGTCGCTCAGGTGGGTGGTTGAATGTTAAATAACTAAATTATGCTTCGAATGTTAACTCATGTTGCAGTAAATGTGTCTGGAAACTACTCATTTTTATAGCTTGTTCCATTATGAGTTGTGTCACTTGACTATTGAATGGGGGTTGAAACTTTTGCGATTTAGCATTTGTGTAGTTTTAGTGTCCAGACTTAATTATGGCAAACATCCTTCCCTCTTCCATTAATCCATTCATTTGGAAGATTTGTTTTACATTTACATTAATATTTATTATAATGTAATTTTATTATAAAAAATTAATGTTTGGGTTGTAGTTGAGTTGAATGGAGTAACATTTCACTGTACATTGTTGTACTTCATGTTTAATTCCTTGTGTGAATTTTCTTTCTTCTGCTTTTTGTAGGTTCATCAGAGGATGAGCCAGTTACCCAAATATTGACTCAGAACTCTCTCTCTGAGTCATTTGAAGAGATTCGTTTGAAGCTTGGTCAAAAGCAATACTTGGATGCATATTATCTTTTACGCAATGCAGAAAAGCAATTTCCTGGTGCCCAGGAGCTTAGGTATGCATACTGAAATATTACCTTTTGTGCTATTTATACTGTTTCTTAGCTTTTTTTGTTTGTCAAGTTTTTTCTTTGTTAAATGTATATTATTTTAGTTAACACAATTTAGAAGGTCTATGTCTACAAAGTAACACAAGTGGTACCTTAGAGAACTTTGTTTGACAGTAGATACTGTGATATGTATTCTGCTGGACATTAAACAAATGACTGACATCCTCTTTGAACTGCTATAAAAATTAGCCCCCCAAAAATGTTGAGGTCAGATGAAAGTTGAGGCTGCACTGGGCATGCTATATACCAGATATTGTCATGGTGCAATGATATGTCAGGTGGTATTGGAGGTCCATTACTCCACAAAATCTCACATTTTAGGCATAAGAGTGTTAGTCCATGTGTTTATGAGAACTGATACTGAAGTTTAAGATTACTTACAGCAATTTTGAATCAAAATTTTATGTTGCATGTCATTGTTTAGGTGTGACATGGATTTGCCAAGCCAGGTGGGTTACTTTCTGAACCTTCTCCATAAAATATTTGTGGAATGTAACTCTTCAGGAGAAAGTTCCCAACAGAGCAGCCAGAGTGAGGCAAGGCCTGACACCACTTCTCAGGAGAGTGGAGAAGCATCTGTGTTTGAATTTGACAGTGCCATGGAATCTCAGCAAACAGTTGTGCAGTATCTCAAAGTGAGTGCTACTTTCAGTTGCCACTGGCAACCTTTCAGTTTGTGATCATTTTCACCATTTGAATCTTGTTTGGTGTGACCTGGAGTGCTATTTATATTTTGTTTAACAGAGGTAGGATATCAGTTTACTGTTTACTTTTTTAATGGCTGCCCCAACTATTTACAGTTTTTGTTCCTGTACCTTGCTGCTAATTAACATTTATCTGAGAGAAAAATTCTTGAGCTACTTGTTTAGAAATTTCATATGGTTTAATCCATTTCTTCAAAGTTTTTTTATGAGGTAATTTTCCTAGCAATAAAATAACACACCAAATAGAAGCTCATCATAAGGGTGATTATTGTCCTGATGATGGAGGCAACAAACACCTCTGAAACATAGGTCAGTATCTGCCAGAGTACATGGGCAAGAACCCAGAAAACAGCCATCCTTATAGTTGCTACCATGAGAACCTGAGATCTCATGATTTTTATCATCATCATTATGATTTTGTTTTTTGTTGTTGTTGTTCCTCAGGATACCATAACATTTGTGCAGCTTGTATCTAGCGCTGTTCCAGTGATCTGTCAGCTGCTTCATTCTCGGCAAACTACTGATGTTATAGAGGCAGTAGATTTCTTCACATCTGCATATAAGTTTGGCTTGGCTGAGGCTATAGTTGGAGTTCAGCAAATGTTGGTCCTGATATGGTCACAAGATCAGGCTGTTCGAGATGCAGTGGCTGTTGCATACAAAAAGTTATATCTCAACACAGAAAGTACTACACCAAGGTATACGTATAATTTTAATCTTTTCAATGCTAGATTTGTAAATGGCTTCTCTGGAATTGAATGAATTATGTAAAGTAGTATTTTCATGTTTGTTGTCTTTATTATTACACGAGGAATCACTTGCATATTTAGATTCATTCTCTTTCATTAAAACTGGTATGTGAATTTTTCCTTCAAGACATTCTAAAATGTAATTTTTACAGAATTTCTTGGATACTGTGATGCGAGCAACAGATTTATGAAACTAATGATTATTTAAAATACTGTGGCTTGAACATGAACTAACATAATTTAAATTATTCATGAAAAATTACAAGCTTTTGGTTAATTATAGACAAGTAAGAGTAAGTTAAATTCACATGGTGTGACAACAGCAGCAAATAGGTTGGTGAACTAGATCCACATTTAAATGTCACACAGTTGTAGCTATAACAGGCAAGTCAGGAAAGGCTAGATATAAATTTGATAGTTGGAGTTTGATTTCAGACAGACACTGAAAACTGTTCCGTTCACCATATCAATACTAAGCAGGTTAGCTCAAGTAGGGATGATTCTGACCTGTATTTCAGAGGTACCATATCCAATTCAAGTCTTAGCCAGGATATCACTTATCCTGACTGAACGTTTTTATGTTTCCCCTTTTGATTTGATTTCATATCTTCAGCGAGAGACCAGCCAAGTGCTGTACCACATGTAGAATCCAAGTACGGACTATTTTTATGATTATGTGCTAACCAGTTGGGTGTGCCCTCACTTCATTGGTGGTGATGTGTGATATAATATGGTGATTGTCAAGGGACAGTCAGAGTGCTTGGAGGGAAACTTGTGTTAGTGTCACATTTTCTACTTGAAATTACGTGTGGGATTGAATCTGGGCCGGTGTCTTGATAAACCAATATCTAACCTAAACTAAGGCACAGTCTTCCCTTTCAGTTTAACATACACAATCAGTGTCATGTGTTAGACTTTGGTTTATGACTGTTCTCTTATGAAATCTGAATTTGAATCTTCCAGGTTGACTTAGGTTATATTGTTTATTTCAATAGGCTTCATGCTGTGCAAGTGGTGAAAAATTTGAGTGGACTGCTAAAAATTGTGAATGTGGGGCAGCATGCAGCTTTCGAAGAACTTGTCAAGAACTGGGTTGCAAATGGTTCCGTAGATAAAGCCTGCATACAGGTACATTACATAAGTATTTAGTAATGCTTACAGTTATGACAGAATTGTAGTTTGTATTTTATGCATTATGTTATCCATTGTTTGATTTGAGTCTGAAACAAGTATTCATATGTATCAGTGAAATCCTTTTTTGTACAGGTGATGTGGGAACGGTTTTCACTTACCATACCTGATACATCAGAGGAAGATAGTCTAGCAGCCCTAGTACTGTTAGGAATGGTAGCAAGGTAAGTATTTTGCGATTTTTTGTCAGTCTGGAATTTACTTTTGTTGGCTTCGGAGAGAAAATGTATGTATTTAGCTGTATCGTTTAAATGTTACGTATTTTAGTGACTATATGGCCTCTGAAAGACAGACTTGATTCCTGACAGGAGTAAGAGATTTTTATCTTACCTACCACATCCAGACCAATTTTGGGGTTTACCCAGCTTCCTTTCCATTGGGTACCAGGGAAATTCTTTTTGTGGGTATAAAATGAACAGGGTTTGAAGCTTACTACTCACCATCTAGTGCTGAGGACAAGAAAGAGTGGTGCTATACCTCAACTTCCTCATGTCTTCGTGACATGTTGTTTAGTTAAGTACCAGGGACGACTTTATCATGGTTTGTTCATACCTATAGTTTGATTAGATGAGACATTTATTATATGTGATTTAGTACGAACAGTTGATCATTTAAATTTCTTAAAAACTTAAGAATTATTTTATATGGATGTGAAAACATCATCTTTTATATTGAGAGAAGAATGTAAATTACTGCTAGTATTTTAAAAGAAATAGCCCAGGAAATTAATTTGGTCCTAAAAGGAATGAAATAAGTGGGTAATTTAAGATGCCACATGAGTAACTTCAGATTACTGTATTTTAATATTGTAATCAAATCTAGTAGTCTACAATGGGATGGGCATCTAGTTGTGATGGGGAAATAAGAGAAGCACACTGAAGTTTGGTGGGAAACTTCTTGGAAAGCAACCACCTAGAAAATTGAGGAGGTGGTGGGAGGATAACATTAAGGTGGACTTCAGCAAAATAGGCTGTGAGGATGGGAGATGGATGAAACCAGTTCAGGGTCCTCTTCAGTGGTGGCCTCTGGTAGAGTTTTAATTTATGTAAGGCTCTTTTCTGAAAACCTGAAGGTTAATAAAGTGAATTTACACTAGTATCATATGTACTTCTGGGGTGCTTGACTGTTTGTGCTTTACTGTGAGTTCTGTATAGTGAAATGGCAGGTTATAAATAAGGGAAGTTAAAGTGGCTTATTAGATTGTATTTTATTCTACATCAGAGTAATCGGTGCTCTAACCAAATTGATAGAAGTTTTACTTATCTAATGTGAGCTGTTTTGATTCCGTATAAAATTAAGTTTCTGTATTAATGTGTGAATTTTGTTGCTGTCATCTTATTGGCAAGTGACAGGCTCACATTTTTTAATGTTTCATGTTCATGAAATTGGTGGATTTAAGCATTTTAATAAGGTAAATTGTTTAATTGTTTTGTTTCAGAGCTGAGGTGCACACTGTGTCAAGTAATATCCCGGTGTTAGTTGGTATTGGATTTGGAGAAAGAGGGGTGAGGAATTATAGACTGGTTAAAGAAACTTGCCAAGTTCTGCTGAAACTGGTTGCAAGGAAACCACCAACAAACTCACCAACTCCACCACTTAGGTAAATATTGGTGACAGTTTGTCATTATTACCTGTGTATGTTACAATCCAGAATATCCAAGGTTCAATACCCTGTAGGAGTGTAACGTTTTGTAAGATCTGAGGTTTTCACAGTGGTGAGTATGAAGATTTCTGTCTTCTGGGTTGTTGCGCTGTGTAGTCTGGTCGATGTTTACTAACGTTTCAGAGGTCATACTGCCTCCTATCTTGTGGATGCTGGGGTACTCTTTCTCTGGAGGCTAAGCAGCCAAAACATTTAGTGCTGAGGAATGGAATGCATTATATTTAAAATTACCGTCGTCAAAACCCTTTAGAATGGAATGCATTATACTTTACTGCAATACCTACATTGCATACAGCAGACTCAGCTAAACAGATTAAATAATTTCTAAGTTGAAAAATATTATGTATTGAAAGCTAAAATTATGCTTAAATGATTGACTAACTTGTCAGAGTAATTGATGAATGAAAGGAAAATTTGACTAGTCACATAAAGATGGAATAAATCTTAGGTAACTGAGATGAAGTAATATATATGTTTTGGGAACAAAAATAATTTAAATAGTAGGAAATTTAATGAGGCTGAAAAAGAATTATGTAAATCATGGGAGAATGTACATTCTGCTAATATAAATGTGTGGTTGGGTATATACACTAGTTTATTTTATTAATTTCTCAGCAGAGATGAGGATGTATGATCTAAAACTTTCATGGTGATTAAGGTTAATGAAATCCTTTTGGGCTATTAACCACGTTGAATGGTTAAAACTCACAAGTTTTAACCATTTGTGAGGATTTTATTAATAAAGATGAGGGTGCATGTATTGCTTGATGGTGTGAGTTATGCAGTAAGATTCATCTGTTGTGGGTAATAATAGAGTTTATTTTAATTTTCAGGTTTCCAAAAGATCATGAAATCTTCACTAGTATTTTTAAAATTTTAACATCTGGATTCTGGAATGTGGATGATAATTACTACATACCAATGTCAGCTGAAGCTGTTGATGTTACATATCAGGTAATGCCTGTAATTCTAATTCTGCTTAGTAGTTGAAAATATAGTCCAGTGTATTGGGTTTTCTTTAATTTAATTCATCTGGTCTAGAAAATTCCTGCTTTTGTGGAACCCGAAGATTCCAGTTGATATTTTTACACCCTTTTCTCCATAATTCCCAACAAATCTTATGTGTCCCAAATAGGCTCTTTCCTTGAGGTTTTCAAACCAAAATGTTTACATACATTCTTGTTTTCTTCATGCGTACTGTATGTCCAATTCACCTGATCATTCTTGTTTGAAACTTTTTTATACTGATTTTATTTAAAACACATTTTGCTGTTGGTATATTTTCTTGCTAACATAGAATTGCTTTTACTGAAAAGTCATTTACGTAATAGTCTTGAAAATTTGGCTACTTTATGGCATGTGTTGTCAGATGACCAGTGTGAAGTGGAAATGACTTGGGAGGAAGAAGAACAGAAGGGCATGGGGTATTAGTTCTTTCACTTACACTTGTAATGGATTCATGGGATTGAATGATACATTGCATAATAATGTTGCACTGTAGACAGATTACTGTTAATCCTTCAGCTTTGTAATCATCCTTTTTAAAATTTATTCAGAATGCAGTAAATGTATTAATTTGAAGATTGAATATATGTGTTGTTACATTTAAGTTTATATAGCCCTTTATTAATTTCTGATGCTGCCTAAAGTTGTAGCCAGTTTATTATATTATATAATTAATATTTATTACAATATTGGTTTCAGTTGGCAGAGCAACCTGATGTCATCTGTGGGGAATTAATAAAAGAACTTCTTGATCAGGTGAAGCAAGGAAAGCCACCTGAAAATCCAGGAAATAACCAAGTATTTGATGGTGTGTTTTACATTGAGATTAATGCATCATTTCACAGTAAAATCTTGGTACAAGTGAAAGTGACTGTCTTCTGGGTTGTAGCGCCATGTAGTGTGATATAAATTTACCTGACTACATGGCACTACAACCCAGAAGACAGCCATTAGTCTGTATTTCATGACATTAACACATTCTCATTTTTATCATTGTTTTCAATTTCTATCAACTTATCACTGCTTTTGTTTTCTATAAACTTTACAGTTCTGTAAATTACTTGTTTGACTGTGAATTTTCTTATTATTTTGTGCAGGAGACATTTTTGTAAAATGTTTACAAAAACCATAGTTTTAGAAATATAATTGACAGGACATTTGGAATGCAGACACACTGTTGCTAAACAGTGTCAGATTCTGAAGATTTATGAACACAGTAATTTTGAAGTTGCTTAAAATACTGCATTGAAGTACAAACATTTTGAAGATTTATTCGTTCAGGTGGCCATAACATCAGTGAGGGATGCAAGGTTGCAAATAATGTGTTTCAGAAATAAGTGTTTGCTATAAACTGGTCTACAGTTTTTCATACACATTGCAGTTCTCTTTGTACTTTTATATGGAATGTGTTGTTATTGAATTTCAGGCTTGTTGGAGAAACATGACGATAGTCCTTCCCAGCTTAACACACAGGATTCTGCTGAGTGTCCGTATGAAGTTATATCACGCTTAGTATTTTTGATTGGTCACATAGCACTTCGCCAAATGTTATATCTGGACGTGGATGTGTTCTGTGAGCTTAAACGTCGTAATGCACGACGTGAAGAAAGAGATGATGCTCAGAATACCAAAAGCAAGAAGAAAAAGAAACAGCAGAAAGGGGACAAGAATTCGTTACAAAATTCATCATATGTTTCTATGAGTGCATCTGAAACTCCTAGGAACAGGCAGGTAATTAATCCATTCAATGCCAAGAATGATTAGGTTGATTATACAGTAGGGCACCGCATATACGGCAGGTTAGGGATCAGACCCCCGCTGAAAAGCGAAAATTGCAGAAAAGCGGATCTTCGCCTTTTTTCAATTGCAAATGCATATCAAAGCCTAATAAGATGTTTACAATATCATATAGTAAGTGCATAATAGTGCTAGGCCTAAAAAAACGATAAGAAAATAAAATGAATATCAGTAGTAGCTGTAAACAGACTGAATCAGCGACGAGAAAATGGCGCCGGACACACTTCTCTGACTCAGCTGTTGAGCGCGTGGGGCATATGCACGCAATTGGAAAGCGCCGTATTAGCGGATCGCCGAAAAGCGGGCCCTTCTGTATTGAAATTATATATGCATTGGATCAGTGCTCTGTATAACCCCCACGGTGGTCTAGCGGTTAGAATGCTGGGCTTGTAATACTAAGGTCCCGGGTTCGATTCCCGGCAGTGCTCAGATTTACAACTAGTGTTGGGCAAGGCCGTGGTCTAGGCATCATGGAGTTTTCCTCTGGGGTTTCTCCGTGGCATCCCAACAATTACTCCACTTTCATCATCATCTCGCAAAAAGGGGGTCACAGCAGGAGCGTTAAATGTCGCGGTCCCGATCGAACCAATGTACTGATGGGTCATGAATCCTGCTAATCACCAATGCACACCATGCTGAATGGTGTGTACTGGACACGAAAAAAAAGTGCTCTGTATCTGATACAGTCATCAGGCGTAGTGGTAGAGTAGTTAGTATTTCTGCATTGCATTTGGAGGTTCTTGGTACAGTTTGTAGTGTGGGTGTGCCAATTGTCATGATTGAGTTTTTTAAAAAAAAATTCTTACCATGGTATTGTTGAAATTTATTGTCTCCAAGAGGAACATTAAATAGGGATTTCACTGAAACCATATTTCAGTGCACGTAGTTGTATTTGAATATTTAAACATGGATTCTGTTTCACACAAGTTATTTCTGAAGTTTTCCAATAATACGAGGCGCGTCCCAAAAGTAAGTTTCCCTGAGGCCGTTTACAGAAACAAAACACAATTTCATGGAAATATTTATTGCAACAGATACAGCAAGTGTCCAGCTTTTTTCAACATATTCGCCACCGGAATTGAGACATTTGTCATACCGTGGGACCAACTTTTAATACCTGTGTCGTAGAAGTCTGCCGCCTGGGATTGGAACCACTGTGTGACAACCATCTCTGCCTCCCTGTCATTCTCAAAACGCTGACGCTGACCGGACAGGAATTTCTTGAGGTGTAGGAAAAGATGGAAATCACTGGGAGCGAGGTCCGGGCTGTAGGGTGGATGATTAA